CTTCTCTAAATCACTCACTCCTAAATGCTTTCAGCAAGGTGGTCCCTTTACCATATAACTAGCAAAATAAAAGTTAAGAAAAGGTATTTAGATCTATTCATTTTATTTTAGAAATCATTATCTTTGTTGCACCAAGGAGTCACACTGTTTCTGTTCCTTAATGAACCAGGAATATATTAGCTAATATTACACTAGCTGACTCATGTGCTACCTTGCAAAATACCTTACCTGTTATCTTGCTTTTATGTTCAATAACTCTAGGAGTAGGTACTAGTATGTCCTCATTTCCCATAAGAGACAATAGAGGGGCCCTCCCTGGTGGCACAGCGGGTTAGGATGCAGCACTGCAAGCCAACTGCAGCACTTCAGTGCGAATTTGATCCCAGGCCCTGAAGGTGACCCACATGACTTGGCAGACCTCTCCTGACCTGCCCACTGCTCCTTTCAGCAGTGTATTTCACTCAGTCTGCCTGTTCTGCTCCCCACTCTGTCTCTGGTGAATCCTCTCACTGCCCCTGCACCTCTGGCCTGTACCCTTGTTCTCTATGCATAAATAAATAAATCTTAAAAAAAAAAAGAGACAACAGAGATTTAGATGAACAGGAGTTACACCCTACATAGCAGAATTGGGGTTTCCACCCAGGCGAAGGTAGACAATATAAATGTGTGAGGCCTCTTTGTGGTGTAAAAAGGGGTAGCAGATATGCTGTTCAAACCAGAGGGCACATGTCACTGTTGAAAGATACTCCAAATTAAATGAAACTGGCACAAAAACTAGATGAAAGCCCTGCTCGGCAGAACACAGGACGCAATTAGAAAGCTTGCTGTCTAAAAACTATGAGGAGCCCGCTTTCTCACCATGTTCCCGGCCAGCACATCACAGGTGCTCAATATGTTGGCTGAGAAAGTGAAGAATTATATAATGAATATATGAAAGAAAAAATGAATTCAGGGTCTGGCCCTTTAACGACTGCACTCAATAGCTTATTCACCTTTGGGATAAGTTCGGTGTCCCGTGGTATCATCTGGGGATGAAAAAATTCAAGTGCACAAATACTAAGTGATTTTGCACACCCCCTTCCCCAAAACCAAAACCCCTACTAGCTGTAGGGATAATTGAGAGCCGGTCGAATCATAAAAGGCACCTCCATTCAAAATGGACACTGGTAAGACCAGGTTCCTCTGAATCCAGATATCAGTTTGGGTCTGAAACAGAGAGGCCCAATGAATGGGACTGAACAGACTTGGTGTAAATGTGTTTGTATCCACTTTTGGGGACTTCAGGGGCACTTTCCCTTACAATTCTTTTGTTTCACTCCTGGAAGGCATCTTCTTGCAGTATTTGGTTAATGATTTCATTGCCTATTTTTCTATTTTCTTTTTCTGGAACCACTAGATTCCTGACCTTGTACAGCTCGCTAGGCTAGGAGACAGCCCACCTACCCTGTGTGATGCTAGAATTTTAGGGCTTAAAGCAAAAGGTAGCTTTCTAGTGCCACCGTGTGGCTTACTTTTGATATAATGACAATATGATATAGCTAGGCTGCCCTTAAAAAGGTAGACAGAATTAGCAAAATATGCATTTTTGATATTTTGATATCTGATATTTAACAAGTTATAGACCTCAGAAATAAAACCAAAATCATACTCAGGTAGCTAAGACAAAATTTATTACACATACTCAGATATGCAGCACATGGTTCTCTGTCATTAATTTCATTTAAGTTAATTCAAGGACTCTCACATCTCACCCAAGGCTGCTCCTAACTCCTGGAGGACTTAAAAGGTGTCGAGGTACCAGAAAGTGCAGGAAGGAGTTTCAGCTCCTGGGACACCTTACCTCATCGGTCACTTCTGAGTCCTCCATTTCTTTTCCCAGCTGCAGGACAGGTCTGGTATTTGATCTCTGCCAATTCTGCAACCCTCTCTCCCCCTGGACACCCAAATCCTCAACTGCTCTACACCACACGGCACCTCCATTCCTTCCCAGGCTGCCACTGCCCTCACCTGGGCGAGCAGCACATTCAGTCTGTGCGAGGTCTCCAGACCATATGGGCTTTGTTTGTTCACTAAGCCAGCAGGTCTTAGCGACTCCCTGTCACGAGTACATGCCTCCCTACCTCTCTCATCCCTTGGGGCCCCAGCAACCACTGCTTTTACTGTGCTTGAAAAAGTTTGACCTTCTTTTTCCCTTTCCCTGAGTAACACATGTAAGTGAGAACATGCCGTGTTTGTCTGTGTCTGCTTTTGCGCTCGGCATTACAATCTCCAAGTCCATCCATGTTGCCCCACGTGACAAGATCTCCTCTTTTTATTTTGTAAGGATAAGTACTATCCCATTGTATATCTGGATGTGGAAATAGTTATGTCCATTTCAATGTATGTCATCGTTTCCAGGTTTTTGACTCAATTCTGATTATTTATGCTCAGAGACAGCATCAGATCCCACAGGTTAAGGGGTCTCTCCTTCTTTCTTTATTTTAATATCCTTGTTTATTTTTATATCATTTTGTGCCTTTTTCCATCTCAGTTGGAATCCCCATGGGCTTCCCATCACCAAATCACCCACTCCACCCCCCCTAGAATGTCTTTGGTATATAGTTGTTCATTATTATTATTTTCTCCCCTGGTCCTTTATGCTCCTGCTATTTTTCTTTTTATGCTCCGGTATTTTTATTTTTCTTTGTCTTATTTCTTAAGGGGTCTCTCTTTTAAGACAGCTTCCAAGGGTTGAGAGCTGAATCCCACAGACTGCCCCCCATCATCCCAATTCAGATGACAGTCACAAACCAAGGTTGTTGCCTGTACTTCTGATCAACTGATTATAAATAAGAGGTTCCCAAGATCCCCTGCTTGGGTTTGATTAATTTGTTGGAGCATCTCACAGAATTCAGAAGCATTTTACTTACTAGGGCACCAGTGTATTTTATTATGAAAGGAGCTGTCAGAAGAGGTGCATAGGGCAAGATACCCTACCCTTCTTGTATCTCCACCTGTCTGACTTGGTTCTTTGAGTTTTTATGGAGGTCATATCCTAAAGGCATGACTGATTAAATCATTGCTTGTTGGGGATTGATTGACTCTTCTGTCCCTCACCTCTTCCTGGAGGTGACTCACTTGGACAGCAAATTTCAACCCTCTAATCACAAGGTGGGTTTCTCTGGTGACCCATAAGTGCGCTAAAGGCATTCCAAAAGTTACCTTATTAATATGAGAAAAGACATGTATCACTCTCAATTTTAGAAACTCCTAACTTTAGGATGTTGGTGCCAAAAATATACTATGGACCAAATATGTGTATTCCTTATTGTAAATAAGTATCACAGGGAGGTTGTGGATTTCTTAGAGTAATGTAAAAGAATGATATTCATAGGAGAAATGGCTTCAGAAGTGGATCTGTTTTAAAATGGAATGAGAGTAGCCTGTGCAGAGGAACTGCTTGTTCATTTTGAACCTTAAAGCTGGGCCAAAACCCCTGTGACTAGAGCAAACAGCAATTGACAATTGTTTGAGAACTCAGCAGGAGAACAGATATCCTCATTGTGAGGTTTAGCAATTATGAGCTTTTCTGTAAGCAAGAATCATTATAGTCAATTATGTATAGTTAAGAGTTAGCTAAGCTTGGCTATATCAGCACCAACAGAATGTTTCTTTCAGTCCTTGTGATTTTCCTCCTCCAGGTCTCATACACACACGCGCACACACACACACAACCCATATCCAGGACATTGGTAGCCTGAATTACAGTTCTTTGCTATTCCCCAACAAATGCATCTCCACCTTCTCTAAAGTTCAGTTTCTTTGTTTTTAAAACTCCAGTCACTCCTGGCCCCATTCTGGAGGCCTCTTTTTCATCTTGAGAGGGGAAGCAGCGACTCTCACTCCACTCCTCAGAGTTCCAGTGGGTGTAGCAATGGCCAGCAGCTAGTTGGCTCCCAGCCTGGGTTGTGAAGGGTGGGGTCATACTGAAGAGCCCAGCGCTCACTCCCTTTCCAATGACACCAGGACCATGAGTTAAATTTAGATAACAACTTATTGCTATGCATGTTTCCAAATATTTCATGGGAAGTACATATACTAAAAAAATATTCCTAGGACATCGAAATTAACCTGGCATCCCAAGCTCAATTTGTACTTGCTACGTTTTATTTTTTGCAACTTTACCCTGAATAAGGATGTACACTCCAGGCAGGCAGTCTGGCTGGTATTTCTTACTATACCTGTGTTAAGTATAATAGCACAGTGCAGGTACAGGATAGGAGCCCATGCATGCTTAATGAGTGACAGAAGGAAGGATTAAACAAAGTGATGGGCCTCATATTAAAACGGAGGAGAACCCCCCCTGTGCAGTGGGCAGGAGAAGACCTGAACAGACCGGGAGCATCATCCAGTGGGAAGCATCACCTTAGTTGGGGAGCACCAGCCAGTGGGGAGCTTCAGCTTAGTGGGGAGTATCACCTAGTGGGGAGCATCACTCAGCAGGGAACATCACCCAGAGGAGAGCACAGGCTTCCCGGGGAATAAATACACTGGGAAGCGGAGGCGCGAGGCCCGCGGGCGGTGCCGCGTGAGGTCACGGGCGGCGACTCGGTGACGTCATCACGCCGCGCTCGCGGCGTCGCGGGGCTTCGGTGGCGCCGGCTCCTGGTCGCTGTTGAGGTGACGGGCGGCTCTCTGGTTAGCCGGGCCTGCGACAGGCCGCCTGAGGAACGCGTGGGGTCGCGCCCGTGACCCGAGGTCCTCTATTCCCGCCCGTGGCCGTCAGCCTGCAGGCCTGGCCGCTCCCCCGCGGGGAGAACTTCTCCTCAGGGCCATGTCGCGGCCGAGCAGCGTCTCGCCGCGGCCGCCGGCTCCCGGGGGCGGCGG